AGAAAATCTAGAGTGTGGACAAGGTTCTGGGGTCCAGTTCTAGGCTGCTGTATGGCTCAGCATCCCAAGCCTGGAAGCTCCTGTCGTAGCACTCACTCTGGTCACTGACCTTCAGTTTCAGCATCTCCATGGCAGTGCCTGTCCGGCCTGTGCAGGTCCTGGGCCCAGGGTACCTCACTCACCTGCACACAGCTTCCCCATGTAGCCTGACCTCTTGGCTTTCAGACACGAGTGTCCCAAGAGACAGGCAGCCCCAGAAACTGCCCCATGCGGTGGCAGGAGCTACAGGCTAAGCAGTCTGGACATGTAGGGGTGGCCCCCCCAGAACCAGGGCCAAAGTTTAGAGCCTGCATGTCTGGCCCTGTGCCAGGCTTAAAACTCCCACAGACGAGCAGAAGAGAGTGAAGATGTGGTGAGGATTTCCGGGGCGGACAGATTGGGGGGCAGTTAGTTAGTGAGGAAGTTCTGCCTGGGGAGATAAAAGGGGTTTGGACTTTAGCAGGGGTGAACGATCTGTGAGAGGAGAAGGAGGCAAGGTGCCCCAGGGGGTAGTGCGGTAAGAATGGGACAGAGGGAGGCCAAGACCCAGAGGTGGACCCTGGGTTACCGGGGGTCAGTCAGACCTTCAGCTCGGGGCCTTTGCTGGTGGAGGCCTCAGATTGTATTCTCTCAGCCCTTAGGCCTGGAAGTGCTCTTCCTGGCCCATGGCATATGCAGGGGGTACCCTCAGCACCTCTAGACTCTACTGTGGCTTCCCAGCCGGACCCCTCCCCCTCTAGGCCAAGGGTGGGGCTCGGCAGAGCCTGTTCAGACTTGTTAAGCAGGAGCAGCCTTTGGGGGAAAGCAGGGCCCCAGTTCCTCTGTGAGCACAGCCTCAGACTGTGGCCATGAGCCCCTGGACACTGGCACGGAGCTGACTACAAGTGTCGCTTTCATCTTGCAGTCCCACGGAGTCCTTGACCTTGCAGGATAGAGCCCACCCCCACCCCCCACGTGGGCCTGGGTGAGTATGCCTGGAGCTGTGGTCTCGGGCCGTTCTCGGCCAAGGCAAAGCAGCCCACGGCTCGTGTGCAGAGGGTGGTGCTGACCTCTGCGTGGGTGCTTACCAGGGCCAGGCCTACGTGGGCTCTGTTCCTGCCCAGCCTGGCTAGCGTGGGCTGGACTATTGGACACTGTCAAGGTCGCCGCTGAGGGATAGCGAGCCTCCCTGGCAGGCTGGCAGAGGGAGGTCCCGGCCGCTACACGGTGCACCCTAAGGAGAACCTGACCAGTGGAATGAACAGAAGACACTGGCAGCCTCCTCCCGAATGAGGCTCTGAGCAGGTCTGGCATTGTTTTGCCCTGGCCCTCAGCCAAGGGGCTGTCAGGGACCCGGCTGTGGTGCTTCCTGGAAAGCGTCCGTCTGTGTGGACCTCCGCCGAAGAGAGCCCTGGTGGGCAGGGAGGAGAGGCATCAGGCTCGACAAGGGGGCCCAACCATGGTCGTCACTCAGCTCAGCCTTGAGTTCCGTTTTCAGGGCAAGAAGCTTCGAGGCTTCAGCTGTGAGCTCACCCGCTCCCCTCATGGAGTCCTCCCCGAGTCCGTCCTCACCACCACATGCCAGGTCGCCATACCCATACTGTTGTCGGGCCTGGGCATGATGACAGCTGGTTTGGTGATGAACACCGTCCAAGTACGTACTGGGCTTCAAGGGAGAGGGGGCAGACAGGGTCCGGGGCAGGAGCCGTGGGCGGCAGCCCTGAGCTGGGTCCAGTGGCAGCCGTGCCGGTGAGAAGGTACATTGGGCTCCCAGCATCTTAAGGGTCACAGCGATGACGTCTGAAAGCCCTCAAAAGGCAGCCTGTGTGAGCGGGCCCACGGCAGCCTCCGTCTCCTTCCTGCCACGGAGTGTAAGCTTATTGGGCAAGGCTACAACTCAGTACAGGAGTCTTCAATGGCTCCCTGCCTCAGTTTCCCCTTTTGTAAAGCAGGAGTAATGAGAGCACCTGCCTCTCTGAGTTGTGAGCACCAGGTGCCTGAGTGCGTGCCTGCTGGTCTCTGTGGTCTGGGTGATGGACAGAGCTGAATGGACAGACCCACCTCTCCAAGGGTCCCCATGTAACTCCTTCAGGGTGGAGAAAGGTACAGAGCTGGGCATGGGAGTTGCATATGTCCCCAGATCTCCCTGGCAAGGGTGGCAGTCTCCATCTGGCAGGCTTTTTTGGAGGGAGACATCCTCTCCCACATTCCCAGGCACCCTGAGCCTGTATGGTTGAGTGATTTCCACTGTCTGTTACCTGCAGCATGTGTTACAGAGGTTAAGGTTGCTTTCGGAAAACTAGACAAAATGTCAGACATGGAGGAAAGATGCCCGTCATAAATTATCATGGTTTTGGAAGCTGGAAGTCTGAAATCAAGGTGTTGGCAGAGTTAGTGTGATAATTCAGGAAGGCGATCCCGTGTGTCTCGTGTGTGTGTGTGTGTGTGTGTGTGTGTGTGTGTGTGTGTGCGCGCGCGCGTGCGCGCGCACGGTGCTGAGGATAGAATCATGCTAGCTGTGCACCATACCACTGGGTTCCACCCCAGCCCCGACGTTGCTGTTGTTGTTTTTAAATCTTCAAAACTTCATTTAATCTTCAACCCCTGTGTGTGTCTCAGGTAGTGCTTCCTCTTCCTCCATGATGGACACACAGTGTCCCCTTGGGTACCTGTGTCCAACTTCTGGAGGTTGGAGGGGTTTCAGTAATTCCAGGACACTTGGTCTCTGCTTGTTCACCTCAGACAACGGGACACCGGGTCTTCAGAATCCTGGGGTCAGCCTGTTCCCAGAGAGCTTGTGCGACCTCCTTCCGTGACGTCCTCTGCCCCTACCTGAGGCAGCCATGCTAATCCCCAAAGACCGGGCCTTTCCAGACTGCACAGCGTTTCCAGACGGCATGAGGTCACCTATCCCCAGCCTGCCTGTACTCCCTCCCTCCTCCCTCCTCAGTGCTTCCGTTGCTCTAGGCGCCCAGAAGGCTTGCTTGTGGGTCAGTCAGTGCGGACCTGGGCAGCGGGTGGAGGTGGCGAGCAGCCTGTGTGAAGGAGAGGTAGCTCCTTCCTCCTGCAGGTCAGAGGTCTTGAGAGGGAACAGGACGGGACCATTTGAGTGGGCCTCGGAGGACAAGGTGGCTGTTTCCACATTGCATTCTGTGGGAAGGAGCCCGCTCCAGGCGGAGGGCTGATGCGGTCTGGAGACGTGTGGGAGTGTGTGTTTGTGAAGAGAGGGACAGTGGCTGGCTAGTTGTGAGGGGCCCTGTCCATTCTGCCCAGGAGCTGGAGTTTGCACTGATTCTGTTTCCAGTGAGGGTTGTCTTTGTGTTGCTGGAGGACAGCACGGTCGTGTGCAAACTGTCTGGTGCGTACTGCATGGTGAAATACGGACGGACGAACGGACGGACGGATGGGGTCACCAGCCCGACTACTGGCTGCTTAGCCATGTGGCCCCCCTCTGACAGCCCGTGCTGGTGTTTGGCTGTGCGTGAAGTGTGATGCTGCCAGCCACATTCTTCAACAAGTTTAATGACCCAAGTTGGGTGTATCCTCAGGAGTGGAGTTGGCAGCGCAGGGTCAGAAGCGACTGGGTGATGTGATTATATTTATGTCACCAAGCTCAATCCTGGCAGCAGCATCAACAATGTGGGGGAGGAGAAAATAAGGGAGGCGCTCTCCCAGTACCACAGGCTACCACTGCTGATAAACCTCACCCCTCCCCATACACGGCCCTACCCCACCCCTGCATCAGGGACAGATACCTTTAAAGTGTTGCTTGAGAGGGTATTAGCAGAATTTAAAAGTGAGGGTAACTTGAAGTCAGATTGGAGAGGATAAAGGGTTAAATCCTGGTGGGCAGAACAGGAAGTAAGTGGGCAGGCGTGGGGACAGGCCCAGGGGCATCTGCAGGAGGGGCAGGAGTCTGGAGATGGTGAGTTGAGGTTCCAGTGTGGTCAGCTTGCAGCCATAAGATGGGTGGGATGCTGGGGATACAGATGAGCCCAGGGCATCAGTCAGCCCAGAGGGAAGGTGGCGTAGAGGACATCAAAAGAAGCCTGGAGAAAGCGCCACCCTAGAGCTGGGTGATCAGTGACATCACCATTACCCCTTTTATCACCCGACTTAGTCTGTCCAGCGTGCTGTAGAACACCAGAGACCAGGCCATGTGCCCCACAGACGTTGACATTGTCGTGGCTCTGGAGGTTAGAAGTCTGAGATCGGGTGTTGTCAGGGTTGGCATCCTAAGCCAGTAATGCCATGTTTTCCCTGTGCCCACATGGTCACCCCTCCCTGTGCATCTTACCCTAATCTCTGTTTGTGAGATACCAGTCTTGTAGGACTGGGGCTCACCCAACCATGACCTTCTTAACTCAGCCTCTCTCTGGGGACCCTGTCTCTAAACATTTGTATCTGGAGGTCCTGGGAGTTAGGGCTGCAGTCTATTAGTTTGGGGGGGCAGGGACACCGGTTAGCTAGTCTCTGTTGACATTGTCCCAGCCTGTCTACCCTCTTGTCCTGTGATTCCTGACATGATCAGTCTTGGCTTACATCTCATGGCCAGGGCTGGGGATATAGTCTAGCATAGCGCACTCTTGTAGCTCATGCAAGGTGCTGGCTTCCATCCCCATCCCCATCAGTCAGTTCCGTGGCCAGAATTGTCTCAGTCCTAACCCGAGGCAGCACCACCAGCGGGAGCTAGGACAATGGAATCAAGTCTCCCTTCCTCCCCTGTGGGGTGCTGCCCCATGGGGAAGGTGGGCTGGCTGCTGGAAGTAACTCCGGCCTTAAAAGAGGTGTAAAGAGAGAGGAGAGTCCAAAGTGAGACTGGGTCAGGACTTGAAGTGGGACCACGGTGGAGTCATTAGGGAGACCAGCAGGGTAGCAGCATCATGAAGGGCAGGGAACAAGTCCAGAGTCAGGCTTGTTCTGTGTGCACTTCGTCCTCAGGCTGTCCTACCCAGCGGAGGGGGTAGCAGACAGAGCCAGAAGAGCCCATTCACACATGGCGGGTCACTGAGGCTTCAGGAAGACAGTTCCATGGCCAGCCTGCACTGAGCCGTGACGTACCACCAAACTGTGGTGGGGAGCCTGGAACTTGGTCCGGAGTTCCTGGGACTGAGAGGGGGAGAGCTGAAGGAAGAGGAGGTGTGTTAGTTCTCCTCGTATGTGGTAGGGAGAACGTGCACCAGGATGTGGGGGAGGCAGAGGAGCGTGGGTGAGGGCTGGAACAGAGAGCATGGAAAGGACGGGGTGTGTCAGACAACCCTGGCCAGGGTAGGAGTATGTGTGTGGTGGTGTATGTGCTACGTGCCCGAGGGGTGCGCAGGGCTGATAGGCAGCTGCTCGCAGGCCTGAGGCCCCTGCTGCAGCAAACAGGCAGTAGCTGGACTGATAAGGAGGGCCCCTGCAGGTGGGGGGCCCCTGCCTCCCAACATAGTCCTTCATCTGAGGGCAGGAAAAAGCTTGTGTTTCTTAAAGGGCTCATGTCATTATTATAAAAGATCCAAACAAATGGGTAAATTTTGTCAAATGCAAAAACATTTGCTAGAGGGAATAAAAGTTATGAGCGTGGTAAAACGTTCAGACTTAGTACTAAAAAGCTATGCACATTGAGACCACATTTTGCTCCTACACAGTCAATAAACGCAGGGATAAGACATTTGTGGAACCTCTGACTGGTCCTTTCCCGCCACGCCCCCAAGAATACTGCTGCCCGGGCGTGACTCCTGCTCCCCAGAGGTGACATGTTTGTGCACCTTTAACTGCTCTTAGCTGGGGGAAATGAGGACTAGAGCCCAGGCCTCCTGACCCCTGGAGAAAAGGAAGAATTTATCTTTAGGCCTAGAACCTAGAGCCCTGCAATCTCAAGATTTTAGTCCATAGAGGTCATACTTACGTCAGATCTGTGGGTATTTGAGGGCTGGTGGGGAGGTGTTTTCCATCGCCACAAATACCTCCTCTCTCTCCCAGCTTTCTTGAAACATCCCAGCTATTCTGCCTTTTCAGTTTTTATTGTTTTTATGTTTGAAGGAGATGCAGGGTCTCCATCAAATTGACTTTTCTGTTTTGGAAAGCCCAGGGCCCATCAGGGTGCTGGGTGGTGACTGAGACCCTGACAAAGTGGCCCACCAGCTAGTTTTGCAGAGTGTTTCAAGGCCTCCCAAATTAAGAGAAATAACTCTGAATTGGTGACACATTCACATTTCTATAAAACTGTTGTTGCATGCAAAATTCCCACATCACAGTAAACAGCACGTTTTCGGGCTGGGCCAGGCTGGACCTCTGGCCTCCATTCTAGTCCTGGAGCTTTCCAGGCCTCTAAGGATGGGAGGCAGGAGGGAGCTTGCTGGAGGCCACTGCTGCTGATTTGATTAATGGTATTTAAAATGCCTTGTTTTCTGTTTCATTTAAAACCGCTTAGGCTGGGCATGGGGTGGCGCACACCTTTCATCCCAGCACTCGAGAGGCAGAGGCAGGTAGATCTCTGTGAGTTCCAGGATACCCGGGGCTATGTTGAGAGACCATGTCTCAAAAAACTGAAAATAAAGTAAAAGTATTTAGGACACTGCTGGGTCTCACAGGTTGATTCACAGGGGTGCCAGTCATGACCAAGGTTGTCTGCGGACATCTGCAGAGCTGTGTCAACAGTGTGCCCTCACCTGCTTCTTCTTTCTCTCCCAGCACTGGTCAGTGTTCCAGGAGGTTAAAGACCTGCTGACGTTGGTGCCGCCCCTGGTGGGCCTGAAGGGAAACCTGGAGATGACACTGGCGTCTCGACTCTCCACGTCTGTAAGTGGCAGCTGCATGTCTCTGGTCACCTGCAGTCTGGGGACAGGATGTTCCCTTCATTCGGCTTCTCTCTGCAGCCCCCACGCACACAGGCTGTTCCGGTCTCTCCTCCCTGCTTTTTATGTGGTTTTCCACGGCTCCCCTGAGGGGCCAGCACAGTGCCCTGGTCAGATTTCTCCCTCGGCCTCGGTGTCAGATGACTTTCCTGTTCCCCAGAGTCTGCCTGCCGCTGCCTGGACCCCAGGCCACACCCCGCACACATCCACATGAAGGCTTCTGTAGGCAGTATAGGTTCAGGGAGGATTCTGGGGAGGGAACGAGGAGGGGGTCTCAGCTGCCCGTTAACCACCTCCGTTCTTCAGACCCTTCCTGTCTCCTGTCATTGTGGCTGTCTACACTTGGCCCTGTAGCCAACCCAGGTCCTGCCTCGGCCAGCTCTTCTTGCCTATCCCAGGCATCCCCGGGGTGGTTTTCTTTCCTTCCTGGTAATACAGAAGTTTTTCCCCTTGCTCCAGTGGCCATTGGGCATCCTGCATGTGAGAAGGGCAGTAGCCAAAAGAAATACAGTGTGTTCAAGGGCCTGAGGAGAGAGTCCCAAAGCTGGTGAAGGACCAGGGATGCAGGCCTTCAATGTCCATTGTTCACTGTGGGGGGCCGGCATCTCCAACTCTAGTTATATAGTGCTGCTTTTCCACAAAAGAGGCCAGAGCAGCTGAGGAGATGGCCTGGTGCTCTTCCAGAGGACCTGGATTTGTTTCCTGGCACCCTCGGGAAAGCTCATAACCATTTGTAACTCAAGTCCCAGGGAATCTGGCACCCTCTTCTGGCCTTCACAGGCACTACACATACATGGTGCACAGATATAACACGGGCAAAACAGCCATACACAGAAAATTAAATAAACAAAACCTGGGGAGAAAAAAAAAAAGAGTCCAGGCCAATTCATAAAAGGCAGGGTGTATTTGAGGCCGAGACCAAGTTAGCAGCTAAGAGAGCACACTGTTCTTTCAGAGGACCCAGGTTTGGTACCCAGCACCCATATTGGGCCGTCCACAACTGCCTGTAACTCTGGCTCCAGGGAGGGACTCTGACACCCTCTTCTGGACTCCTTGGGCACCTGCATTCACACGTGCCCATATTCATACACAGACACACGTATACAAATACTTAAAAAGGAAATAAATCTTAAGTGGGAGCAGGTCACACCGTCCATAAAGCCAAGTGGCCTAATCCGTTCTGAGTTCTGACTTGTTTCCGGAGAGAGAGGCTGGCTATGCCCAGAGGACTGGCTTCTCCAGCCCTGCCACACTGACGCTGCCTTTATCTCTGTGTGCTAGGCCAACACCGGGCAAATCGATGACCGCCAGGAGAGGTACAGAATCATCAGCAGCAACCTCGCTGTGGTTCAGGTGAGTGCTGGAGCATCCATCAGTGCCTCCCCTTCCCCCTCCCCCATGGGTCTGCAGCCATGGGGCTTTCTGGGTAATAAGGGGGAGGCCGTGTGGGCCTTGTCCCTGTACTCTGGACTAAAGTTGGAGGACAGGTATCTATGTGTCCACCCATCTGTTCATTAGACATATCGGTGGCATAGGGAAGATCATCACAGGGAACCACCATACCTGCCTGGAGATGCCTTCAGGTCTGTGGTCCCTGCAGCTTCCCCATTACCGGCCTTCTAAGCCAGCTCCTTGGGGGATCTGATGTACTCAGCATTTGCCATGCCCTGCGGGTGCTCGTGGCCTTTCTCCCACATGCAAATCAACACCATGTTTCCCCGCGTCACTGGTGTTCCCGGGATGGACACAAGAAGTTTGCTTTCTTCCAGCGACCTCACTTAATCTTTCTGGGACCTGAGGGATGCTTCCCGCCTGGAAATCCCCCCATAAGTGCTGCTCTTGCTGCTTAACCTGTCCTATCTCAGCCTTTGCAAGAGGCCCGCATGATCCCCTCACACTGTGCTTCCCTCTGCCAGGCCCTCTGAAGCCAGGGTACCCAAGGCAGGAACAGATGAGGGCAAGACAGGCCCAGGCAAGAAGGAAGGCTGGACATACAGCTGTCTCTGTAGGGACTGTGGTCCAGGGTCTCTGAGCTTCTCTGGTAGGCAACCCCTGGTAGCACAAGGGATGTGGACTGAGGTCAACCGGGTAGTCCTGGCCAGGGCTGTGTGTCCTCGTCTGTTGGTGACACCTATTCTTCCTGTTGTCCAGGTCAGAACCCTGCCTCTCCCAGAGGCGTCCCCCGAACGTCAAGTTAGAGCTGGTCTCGTCATCCCCTCCTTGCGCTCGGCTCTGCTGAAGGCACCGGCCTAGCCCTCTGTGGCGGAGGAGCGCTGCCTGTGAGCTTTTCTGACTTAGTCAGGCTGCTTGATAAAGACTGTGACCAAAAGTAACCCGAGCAAGAAAGGGTTCATTTCATCTTACAGTGTTTAGTCCATCACTGAGGGAAGTCGGGACACGAACTCAAGGCAGGTACCTGGAGGCAGGAACTGAAGCAGAGATCATGGAAGAGCGCTGCTTATTGGCTTGCCCAGCCTGCTTTTATACAACCCAGGACCTACCTTCCTAGGTGTGGCACCACCCATAATGGGCTGGCCATGTCAATCATTAATGAAGAGAATGCCCCCACGGACTTGGCTACAGGCCACTCTGATGGGGGAGGCATTTTGTCAGCTGAGGCTCCTGCCTTAATCGCTGTTCTGTTGCTGTGAAAAGTCACCATGACCAAGGCAAGAAAGCATGGAATTGGGGGCTTGCACCCTCTCCTTCTCGGGTACAGTGTGTGTACCACCCTTCAGCCCTCTCCCTGCCCACCCTGCCGTCCATTATCAATACGGCAGCTGCGCACAGGAAGACATGGTGCTGGAGAAGTAGCTGAGAGCTACATCCTGATCCTTAGGTAGAAAGAACAGGGCCGGGCATGGGCCTTTGAAACCCCAAAGCCCATCCCGCCCCGCCCCTGCCCCGCTCCGCCCCCTGCGCCCCGCCCCTGCCCCTCCGCCCCGCCCCCAGGGGCACACTTCCTTCAACAAGCCCTACCTCCTAATCCTTTTAAGATTATTCTATCCTATCCAAGAGTTACATTTCCTGTGACTAACCGTTCAAGTATATGAGCCTGTGGGCCATTCTTATTCAGACCTCCACGGTTCCTTTTGTTGACAAAAACACGAACCAGGTCCCCAGCCCCCAGCTTGCTCTGCTTAGCTTCCACTGTGAGGGGAACTGTTTTGCATCCTCCATGATGCCGCCTTGCCACAGGCCCAGAGCCATGGGGTCAACACACCAAAGGCTGGTCCCTCTAAAACTCTGAGCCGAGGCAAACCTCCTCCCTTTCTAAGTTGAGTGTCTCAAGGAGTTTGTAATGGCTGATGGAAAGCTAACTACCACTCGGCCATTTCCCAGGGAGGACTGGTCCGTCCTGCCTGACCAGGTTGGAAACCAAGTTACCCTCTCCCTCAGAGTCGCATTTGAATGGAGCCCTGATTCTGCTCCTCCCTCCCTGCAGACGCCAGTAGACCTGTGCCTCTTGCAGCTGCTTCTGTCTGTGTGGGAAGCCAGAGGATGCCTCCTGCTCGTGGCTCTGCAGCTCCTCTGTGTAGAGGAGCCCTGCCTCCCTCAGCAGCCTTGCATCCAGCTGGAGTGGTCCCCTCTTGCTGCCTTTCCATGTGCAGTCCGTCCTTGAACAGCTCTCCTCTGCGCTTGCTGTTCTGAATTGTTCAGACTGAATATTCACTCTAGTCCAAGCTCTATGCTGCCCCCAGGTGCCACCCCTCAGTCCTCTCCCTCTTG